TCATCTGGTCTGGTTTCGACAGGAGTCGCTGGTCATCACAGGTTTCTCCCAGTCAGGACAGGAACATCAGGACAGCTGACACTCAGGACACACCTACCAATATGAACAGATGGTTATTGTGATGCAACACTGAATGACCATTAAAGATAGACTAAGTAACAAAATTGCACAATTGGGCAATCCCTTTTGTTGAATAGATGTACAAAATCCTAGGCTCTAGAAATTTGTTATCTATTGTGACATGCCTCAGAATTGTGAAATGCCTCAGAATTGTGAAATGCCTTAGAAAAATATAACTTGTAAATTGAGAACCATTGTCTCACCTGTACAAACTCACTGTCTTCAGGTCATCTGATTTGCTGGTCTGGACTGGAGAGAAGTTGCCGGTCTCCAGGTTTCTCAGAGCACGAACATCTGGTCTTGTCGGGTTTAGAATCATCACTGCAGTCAACTGCATCAGTCAGCAGTCACCTACCTACATAGACATTACACAGTTACGTGCTTGTCTCAATTAACAACAAGAAAACTACTACTGGTACAATTTACAATTTAGATTTCAAGTTCTCACCGATATTCCTCTTGGGTCTTCAAAACTGGTCACTGAGATTTAGACAGGAATCACTCTCACTGCTGCATCAGTCAGCAGCCACCTAACAATAGAAACATTACACACATTACACACTTGTAATACAGCACTAAGTAAATGGTAGACAAAATGCAGAATTTTTCTCACCTGATACATTTGTATTCCTCTTGGGTCTTCAAGTCACCTGGTCTGGTCCAATGCACTCTTGTCAGGTTCAGACAGGAGTCCCCACTACTGCATCAGCCAGCAGCCACCTAACTATACAGACAATAGAAGTTACACACCTGTTTTATATAATACCAAATAGATGGTAGGTAAAATGCAGAATTGAGATTTTTCTCACCTGATATTCCTCTTGGGTCTTCAAGTCATCTGGTCAGGTCCAATCCACTCTTGTCAGGTTCAGACAGGAGTCCCCACTACTGCATCAGCCAGCAGCCACCTAACTATACAGACAATACAAGTTACACACTTGTATCAAATGATACCAAGTAAATGGTAGGTAAAATCAAGAATTGGGATTTTTCTCACCTGATATTCCTCTTGGGTCTTCGAATCATCTGGTCTGGTCCAATCTGTCTTGTCAGGTTCAGACAGGAGTCCCCACTACTGCATCAGTCAGCAGCCACCTAACTATACAGACATTAGATGTTACACACTTGCCTCAAATAATACCAAATAGTTGTAGGTAAAATGCAGAATTGAAATTTTACTCACCTGATATTCCTCTTGGGTCCTCAAATCCTCTGGTCTGGTCCAATCTTCTCTTGTCAGGTTCAGACAGGAGTCCCCACTACTGCATCAGCCAGCAGCCACCTAACTATACAGACATTACAAGTTACACACTTGTCTCAAATACTACCAAGTAGATGGTAGGTAAAATCCAGAATTGGGACTTTTTTCACCTGATATTCCTCTTGGGTCTTCAAATCATCTGGTCTGGTCCAATCTGTCTTGTCGGGTTCAGACAGGAGTCCCCACTACTGCATCAGCCAGCAGCCACCTAACTATACAGACATTACAAGTTACACACTTGCCTCAAGTAATACTAAGTACATGGTAGGTAAAATCCAGAATTGGGATTTTTCTCACCTGATATTCCTCTTGGGTCTTCAAATCATCTGGTCTGGTCCAATCTGTCTTGTCAGGTTCAGACAGGAGTCCCCACTACTGCATCAGTCAGCAGCCACCTAACTATACAGACAATACAAGTTACACACTTGCCTCAAATAATACCAAATAGTTGTAGGTAAAATGCAGAATTCAGATTTTTCTCACCTGCCCCAATACTTCTGCATGTATCCGATCACCTGGTGCCTCTGCTATCACACGTCTCATCGCATCAGTACTGAACACCTGCACAGGTTGCTGACCCTCAGAGCACAGCTCACTACAGGATTCTATGAAAAGAAATAGTGTATTCTATGAAAAGGAGAAATAGAAATACATTGGAGAAACTTCCATAATTACACTGAACAAGTCTTACCAACTATAGATGTAGATCTTTTGGAGGTAAGAAAAAGTTATGTTGTGCGGATGTGATGTCTGAAACTACATGATTGGGGTACAGGGTAAGTGGCGCACAAGGAGACAAGATCCATAACGAAATTACGAGCAATTTTTTGACAGACAATATAAATAATACCTGTATCTACTCCTTTTGTTCTGCTGCTACGCTCTACGTAGAATTAAAACGGCCCATTACGCTCTACGGAAAAGGGTATGCGGGCCCCCTTAAATTTCCTCACTTTAAAACAAATACCTCGACGAAAACGGTACGTAATGACCATAAAAACGAGGATAGCAACAGCAATAAAAAACCAAACCCCTTCAACTTAAAAACAGACTAAAATTGAAACGAACAAACTGTAAAATGATCCATTATACATTTCGGCGCCTTAAGTTCGAGCTTTGTGGACCCCATTTGTTTATGCGAGTTTTTGGCGGGAATATCCAAAATATTTAATTATGTACACGTGCACATTCCATTTAGAACCACGTGGAGATGAAGAAAAATGTTTGGTCAATACACAATTTCTTTCAACAAATATAACCTTATAACGCTGAACAATTGACAAGAGAGACATGCACATATATTCTATAATCTACAAGCGCACCGCACATTGAAAATGTTGTTGAAAACGCGGCAACTTGATAAACTTTTTTAAAGCATGTCTTAAATTAGGAACGGTCGCTCTCTAATACAGAACTTTGCCATTTCTTACGGACTATAACTTGAAATGTTCGTACTATAGTTGCTAGCCGTAGTAGGGAAGAATGTCAGCCAAACAATTTGCTGGCTTACCTGCAACAATAAGCGAAGTCGTCTCCATACCACGCTACTCTTCCCAACTGTCTCGCCATTTTGTCTTCTCCAAAATTCGCCAGGTCGGGAAATCCGCATTTTCTCTTCAAAACATCACCAGAACGGCACAAATCCACAGCGAAAACTCCCAAACATTCTGCTGCACACTTAATTATAACATTCTAACGACGAAAACTCTAAAATTTTAGTAAAAAGGACCCAAAAATTTGTTTTAAAAAATCAGCCCAGAGTATTCCGGTGGTACGAAAGCGCCATCTTGGATGGACCACGCCAAACTTGTTTTTACACAGGTGTGCAAAACGGCCCTGTCAGGCTGTCTATCTTAATTTAAAGCTGATAATCCAAATTAAGACGACCAATGATGACCAGTCTCGGTAAAATAATATCGTAGCGATCTGGGTTGGTACTGCAGATCTGGCTCTGACAGTATATAAACAGATTAAAGTCTTGACACCAATGCAGTTTTACATAGACCCAAGAGATCCCTCTTTGATACTTAAAATAATTGCAAAATCATTTTACCTAATATATAGTCTTTTATATTATATTTGCCGTTTTCTATATATTGCAAGAGATAGTTGAAAACTACTGTCATGTAGAAATTCACAACTAGACTACTTTTTTTTCACTCGAAATAAAAAAAACACACAAAGTACGATTTATCGAATATTGTAATAGAACAAAGTTAACAGTAATAATACAAAAATCATGAAACCAAGAACAACTGCACAAAAAGTGACAAAACACTCTGCAAAATGTTGAAACAGCAATTTTCATAAAACCTTTACAGTCCAAACTTCTCATACATTTCTCCATTTATGTTTACATTTCTATCGATATCAGATGTAAGTAAGCATATTACAATGTAAGTATGCATTTATTTAGAGCACCCAGTTTAAATTTACGCTGTTTCTAAGTACATACTTATCTTGCGATGTGCTTTTGAATTCTAAGTTGTTCACACTAGCTTAACATGACGTACTCAGGGCTCGAAATACCACCTGTGTATGCACGTCAACTCAATCAATGTTGGGTCTGTACAAGTATATCTGATGTCTACCTGCACTGGGCCATGATAAGCCCCAGACTTCCATTCTTCAAAGTAGCATCAACGAAATCATCAGGGATGTTGACCAAATATAATGGTGCTACTAGGAACCTTTTTTTCAAAACCTTCAATTTTGTTAATTACGGCAAGGCAAAGAAAATTTAGTAGTTTTAAAACGTGTCAGGTGCAGGTAATTTTGAATGTGCATGTATACATAAAAAGGTTTTCCAAGCCCTGCGTACGTACTGCACCCTGAGATTGTCTCACAGCAAACAAGGATGTGGATTAAGTGTGTAATCCCCACAAACGTGTTGTTGTCTCAGCACACTACATGTCCATCAGGAATGTACATAATCAACGCGATAACCGACTCATTTATAACCACAATATTTGCTCCGCTAACCTAGAATATATTGTTTTAAAGAGCCTTGTCTCCCCACATCCGGTAAACAAAGTCACCACACGGCAAAACAAGCGGCTTTCAGAACCAGGGTTGTTTACTGTGTTTAACAGAGGTAGCTTAGAGATGGAAATTTGTGGTCGATTCTTATCGAATAAAAATGTCAAGGTAACCTCAGAAAGAATGGATAGTTGTTTTTTTAAGGGAGGGGGGATGTACCCACGTGTCAGAATTTAGAATCACTGAGTGCATGTGTATTGATGTTGATTTCAACCAAATATGATTTTGATATTGACTTCATCGGTAAAGACCATGTGATATAATATATGATGTCTTGATAACCATCTATCCTCTGTTGCGGACCTCGACTTTTAACTCCTGTTTTCCTTAAAATAATGCACAGTGACGTTTGCAAATCAAATTAGATGGAATGAAATAAAATATGGTAGACCCTTATGAAGTGAAATGACATAGAATGAAATGAAATGGAATAATATGGTACGATATGGAATGAAATTAAATGACTGTGAAATGAAATGATATATGATATGATATGATATGATATGATATGAAATAACATGGAATGAAATAATATGGTATAGTATTAAATGACATGGAATGAAAAGAAATGGAATGAAATAATATGGTATGGAATGAAATTAAATGACATGAAATGAATGTCAAATGAATATGGAATGAAATAAAGTTACAATTCGCACAACATGCTCATTTACATGCCAAGAAAATGTTTCAACAAGTCTTTGTTTATCTTCACCTACGACCCCAATTGTCTTTTACACTTCTGAACAAATCCTGAGAACCAATTATATACCTTTAACCATTTTAACTACAACGGTGAGATGGTCACAATATCTATGACACTGTCCTCGGTGCCGAAACGCCTTCCGTTTATCCATTAGACCACGCAGATGACGCTGTTCTCGGACGTCCGGCAGATGGTCTGATCTTAGAGTCCTGCTTCTTCTTGTAGATGAGGAATCCCAGTCCGACGGCGATCAGTAGCACGCCAATCCCGCCACATGCGGCGCCTGCCAGTACTGCAGTGTTGTCAGATTTCTCACCGTTCTCTTGGGTCTGCCCAGCTGAGATTCCTGGCGTTAGAAAAGGTCAATGATTTTTCATTTGGTTATCGTTATTTTATATATAGAAAGCATATATTCTAACATTACACTTCAGTGCAAACTGTTAAATGTTACCTAGTATATGTTGAATAAATGTTAAAGCATATATGGTATGAAAGGCTGGAAAGAAATATACAGATTAGTTTCACCCTTACCTGGTTCTGGACATCCAGACGTGCCACAGCCTTCACCCTCTAATAAAAAAACAACGAAAACAAATTTTCTATAAGTACTTCATTTCCTTACAAAAATCTCCAATTTCAACGATGTTAACAAATCTAAAATATGAAAAAGGAAAAGTTAGTGCCTAAAAGTCTAAGAGTAATCCTCTCATTTTGTCGGACAATTCAGTATCCACTGCCTTAATTTTTATTTCTATTTTAATTTTTTAAAAATCAAACCTTATGATAGCAAAGATAACGCAGTGGCAGTATAAGTTGATCAGACACCTTACTTCCTGACACAAGCAATTAGTCTTCGGGCATGATTTTGCAAATAAGGACCATGAATAAGCCTAATCTTTACCAGGACAGGGTCCGTTGTTGCACGGTTCCTCCTCCGTGTCCACACCGACCCCGATGTCGTCCCCCGGGCAGGTGGCGCCCGGCTCGGCCCCCGCCGTGTCACACTGCCGGGCCCGCTCCCGGTCTCCCGGGCCGCAGGACGCAGTGCAGGCCGACCAGGACCCCCACGCACCCCAGTCTGGGTTAGAAAGAACAAAGCAATGGATTAGTATCTACCGTGAATAGTTTCATCGGGTTGGTTGATTACTGCTGCCTGTGTAACAACTTGAACAATCAAGTATTTTACAGAGCCGAATAAACCACCGAGTGAGCGTAGCGAACGCACTCCAGTCTGTGTTAGATCTGTGTGAAAGAAACAGGACAATGAGTTAGTAAGTTCTGTGACTCCCGTGAATAGTTTCATCAGGTTGGTTATTACTGTTGTCTGTGTAACAATGTCTTTTTTTATTCAAGTATTTTACAGGACCGACTTTTTGGTGACCGTCTATCACCTTCCTCAGGGCAATACTGATTGGTTAGACTTCGCATTGCAGCTAGGTGTCGCTGCTGCAGTGTTAAGAATGAAGTCCCAAACGTAGATTACTGTATTGTTACGTATATGTACACAACATTACAAGCTTTGAACAATGAAGTACATTGAATGCTCATTTCTAAGGTTAGATAACAGTGATTTTATGCCAGCATGTGCAAGTTGTTCACTTCAGTCGCCCGTGATTTGAATCAATGATGGGTAAAAATTTGGATACTACGTTTGGAACTAACAAATGTACTTAAATATACTAACTATACGAATGATGCCCAACAACTTTACTCGACTGTGTCGCGAGTAAGCCAAGTTAAGTACAAAGAAAGAATCATTTATCTTGTAGGCAATGTTTCTACAGAATTAGACCAGAAGTGTGACATTGTTCACTTGTCAACGATTTCCTGTTGTTATTTGCATATCAGACAAGGTAATCTAGTTGCTGTTGAGAGTTTATGTCTGTCAAATCCATCTGGCTTATATGGAGTCATTTATCTGAATGAAGGTACTTTGCTGTTTTGATCTTTATATGGTATGAAACACGAACTTAAACCGGAAGTGTGATGTAACATACCTGGGCATCGTCCTGTCTTGCAGACGTCATATCCGGTTTCTATTCCGTCTCCATCACTGTCTCCTGCGCAGGGATTTCCACCGTGCTGCGGTGATGGGGTGTCGCACAACCTCTCCCTTACTAACATCCCTCCGCCACAGGTGACGTTACAATCGGTGATTTCATACCATTGTCCCCACTGTCCATCCACTGCAAGCAAATGACAAAATGAAACATCATATTGATAGTCATCATAATTATCATCATTGATAGTCATGACATGTCTGTAGTACCCAACGATCACAAAATTGTCAAAGCGGGTTCCTATCCTATGAATACTGGGCAAGACCCTCTATGGGGCATCGCGCCCAGGCTTGTCCCGAAGATATTCATATACTAGTACTCACCCGGACATGGAGTCCCTGCGTGGCACGCCCGTGTTTCCTCCTCCAGCCCGTTCCCGTCCAGGTCGCCAGGGCAGTGCTTCCCTCCGGCGGACGGAGCAGGGCTGTCACACCGCCGGGACCTGGTCTCCACCCCGGCCCCGCACGTGGCGCTGCAGGCACCGTAGGATGTCCAGACTCCCCAGCCTCCGTCAACTGTCATCAAAGACAAAAAAAAAAAAAACAACAATTGTACCACTTTCGGTTAATTTCATTTTCTTAGCACCAAGGTAAAGAACGATACTGCGATTTTTTCAATCAAAGTGTTTAAAGGCATAAAGATCCCATCTCATGCCTTAGGCCTGACAAGCATCACATTCAGAAAATAGAAGGTATTTCTTTGACTTTATGTTTAAGGTACAAGATGTGGTTAGTAGTAATCAAATGTTATACATACAATTCTAGATACCATGTTGAAAGAACAAATGGACAAAAAGGTGACAATTTTTGTCTCGTCATTCATTCATCAGAGATTTACAAAAAAAACTACCACAGCGTGCCTTAATACAAGAACGAGAACATAAACAAGCAGACAAACAAACAAACAAACCTGGGCACGTCTGTGGCTGACAGGGTTGGAACTCTTCATCTGTTCCATCGGCGTCCGTGTCGCCTTGACAAAAGTTGCCGTTGTACTGCGGAGCGGGCTCTGTGCACGTCCGCACTCTCCTCTGTGTCCCTCCGCCACAGGACTGACTACACGTCTCCCATGGCAACCACTGGCTCCATCCGCCGTCAACTGTCACAAGAGAGAACATAACTGTAAATTTGCATATGTATGGTGTTGTGTATGATTACGCAGCTGCAGTGTACACACACATATTCAAATTGACTGCAAAACGTTAAAGTTTAACCGCCCAACATGGTGGACAATCATCATCATCATGGCGTGCAATACTGACGTCATAGCCACGTTAACGTACAGCCTTTATACGTTGCTGTATTTTCTTTGTGTCCCTGGAAAAACTTAGCCTCCTCCGCAGACTTGTTGAGCGACGGCGTTATTTTTTTCGGTGAGCGACGCGAGTTACTAGTATTCCACTGAGGGACGATTTTTCCGCCGAGGGAATTTTGCCGCGGAGAGAAGAATAAAATACTAGTAACTGGCGTCGCTCACTGAAAAAAATAACGCCGCCGCTCAACAAGTCTGCGAAGGAGGCTAGGAAAAACTGGTGTGGTTCTATACCCGTTTGTTGATGATATATAACTAACGCGTTACGTTAGACCTTAATTTGCCAACGCGACAAAGAAGAGATAAAGTCAAAACATAAGTATAACTTGTTATGCTTGTACTTGTCAGTTACGTTAACACAGTTCGTACCTGGACACTGGTTTCTATTACAGATCACAACATGCGTATCAGCGCCGTCACCGTCGTCGTCTCCAACACAGTTGTCACCGCCATGTTGGGGAGGGGGGTTGTCACACAGCCTGGTTCTCAGCCGTACTCCTCCACCACAGGTGACGTTACACGCACTGAATCCGCTCCATTGACCCCATTCACCGTCAACTATATACAATTTCAAAATATATTGTCATTTCATGCATTAAACTTGCATATACCAGTCATGAACGATCACTTTTCACAATAATTTCTGCCTTAACAAGCTAATGACAATGGTAAAGATCTTTACAGTTTGTCTGTGCACCATAGATACATTCTTTAAACAGAATTTTCCACATTCTATTTCAAAAACAAATCAATTATCATACATGATTTTATTGTCACAAATAGACTATTATTCGGTGATGATGCTGTTACTATACTGAAGCGGGTGCATTAGAAGCCATCGAAGGCATTTCAGACAAGTGGATCGCATAGTAGTGAAATTTAACACACCATCTTGAGTCGGTAATATATTCTAAATTCTGTAATGTACTTACTCGGGCACGGTCCGTTATCACAGCTCTGTGTGTCCGTACTGGGTCCCGCACACGGACTCCCGCCGTCCTGAGGAGCCGGACTGTCACACTGCCGGTCTACAGGCTGACTACCCCGGCCACACGTCACGTTACAGTCTCCTGCCGCCTGCCACGGGCCCCAACCACCGTCAACTGGGAAAAAGAGCTACACTGTTAGCCGGCATAGGGTGCATTTATGGGAAATCTACTTTGACAGTTTTCAATAATGTACTGTGAATGAAATATCATGCATACGGAAATGTTACGGAATTGACATCACAATATTAAACCTGATATTATATATGACATCATTAATATTTATTTAAGTATTTTGCGGCAAATGCGCATACTAATCACATGAGCATGCTGTTGAAATGTCGAATGTGCTGAATAGAAGAAAATGATTACTGTATCACTTGTTGCGTACGTCTGACGTCAAGTTATGAAAAACTATCTAAACCTTACACGTTTTCACATCAAATGCGTTCAATTAAACATGCAAAGTTAAGTAAACTACTTAAAGTAAAAGGTTACAATTAATCAAAGATGATCATGAAAGCTCAAAAACTATTGACCCACATCCAACAATGCTGCAATGGACTTACCCTAACCAGGTCAAACCTTGGCATTTTTTCTTTACCAATGGTTACAAAGTGTTACTATGAAACAGAGTACTTACTCACCTTTATTGAACAAGGTAGTAAATATTATACCCACGTTAATTGCTTTATTCAAAGCGGGGACGCTCAACTGTTATTAATACTTTAAGCGCCATTCGTGCAGGCTTGATTACTTTATACGCCAGAAAAAAATTGACAAATAGCACCAGAATTGTTGCTTAGATTATTTTTAGCTGACATGTTAGCAACAAGTTTATTTGCTGTGCATGAATCGCAGAAAATTAATTACATTACGGAGTGAGCATAAGCCTGGATAAGACTATTAGTAAACATCGTACCCGGACAGGGTTGTTTGTTACACTCCTGCTGTTCTGTGTCCGCCATGTCACCGTCGTCGTCTCCCACTGCACATGTGAAGCCGTAAGGCGGCGGCGGGCTGTCGCAGTACCGGGTTCTGTTTTGTACCCCTCGGCCGCAGGTTGCTGTGCAGTCGGTCCAGTTTCCCCAGTCTCCCCAGCCTCCAAACGCTGTTGTAGGAAGACAACGCAATACAAAGTCAATCAAAACACGTTTATTTGCACTTATACAACCATTGGTTTTACACCAGGTTGGTTTTATCTTTTCCCCAAAGAAAAAAAAAAAAAAAAAAAAAAAAACAAGTCATGACCAAGGATTGAGGTGTTGTTTCCGACCAAAAACTATCATAGAGGTAAACTCATGACCATTGCCACCAACAACAGTAGGGGCATCGTCACTAGAAAGCTTTAAACAACGCCAATAGTTAGATGTGATATGGTTAGGCGTGAAAGATACAGGTACGAGTATTATCATAAAAATGTTATCAAATGTTTGAAAATATATTTTATCAGAACACTCACCTTCACACGTTTCATTCCAGGTTGTGACGTCATCAATGGCTATGTCACTGAGAAATCCACCAATGTCTCCATGAAATATGACCTGGTAACAACATCAAATAATAGTAGATTAGATATTTGTTTAACGGGGTTTGACGTGATTTTTTTATCATCATTGGCTGCCTGGAAGATGACATTGTCATTGATCAAACTGATAGTTATCTGTGCATGTTACTTGTACATGGACATGGTAATACTCACGATTTTCCATCTACACCTGGCATTTTCAGGACTAACCTGATAGTTGTCAGTGATGTTGTGGTTGATGACTAACCTGATAGTTGTCAGTGATGTTATGGTTGATGACTAACCTGATAGTTGTCAGTGATGTTGTGGTTGATGACTAACCTGGTAGTTGTCAGTGATGTTGTGGTTGATGACTGCCCTGTTCCAGGTGTCACCCCTGTCCCCGCTCAGCTCCCACTGCAGCTGCATGTCTGTACTTCCCGACAGCCGGGTGTACACCTGGAGGGTGCCTGGGGCATGCAGAACAAGAACACCCATGGTTGACAAAAAAGACTTGCGGACACATATCCCACACGTGCGTATTCATACGAGAATCGACGTTTTTTTAGCTGTAAAGGGTTAACTCGTACAACTCAAATCGCATTCAAAACAGAATTCTATGCTAATTTGTTGTTTGGGCAACTACGTTAATAGTGATATTTACCCATCTGCTGTCCGAACATGTGGAAGTAAAACTCCAGACACGGTCCGCTGGTCTCCGGAGAGAACAGCCTGGCCACGTCACCTGTCTGTGCCGGGGTGGAGGACTCTATGTACATGTAGTATCCTGGAACATCAGAGAAACGGAATGTTACCACTGATATAACTAGAGATCAGAGACTTCAAACGTCTGTATATTAAACAAAAAAACAAGACAAAATACTCCGCTATTATAACGTTTTATGTTTTGTACACTCCCGGCGACTTTGATCCCAGGGTCTAGGGCATACCGGGTCAAACCCCTGTCAATCAAGTAAAACCCAATCTCCGCCCACTCACTTCGGAACCCAAACATACAATTTTCCACTAACCAACTCCGCTCAAAGCAATACTTCCGTTCCGGAAGTAACTCCTGAATCTATACAGTTCGTAATAACTTCTTGTGCTTATTCTGCTCTCGGAAAGGCACTACTATTAGACATTTTGAAGGCCATAACAAGTTGTATTTGGGTCTACAATTACCAGCATGATATTGGCCCAGTGTGTGGTCATGGAACGGTCCGGTTTTTGCACTCTCCACGCTGTTTTGTACGGCATATAGACGGTTGGGTGTGGCATGGTTGTGTTTGGTCCAGTCTATATTGTCGTTGGTGTCCTGTTGAAAGCCACACAAGTCACGATCGAAGTTACAGGCAAGTTGAGGAGCTGGCGGGATCTCACAAACTAAAGAAAGAAGAGGAATGGTAAACATCCAGCCGTTGAATTAGTATCTTATATACAACATTAGGTGGAAGCCTGTTGCTATCTGTGTCATATGAAAAAAAAGGTATTTTCTTGGAGATTTGGTTTTCACATGCGCATAAAGTTTGAAAGTTACAAAAACATCCTAGTTACAGGCTGTCAACCTACCACCACCGCACAATACGATGGTCACGTCATCAATGGCTGCCTGGCAACGGAAGCTACCATCTCGTCCCGTCTCAAATACAATCTGTAAATACATTGATAAATCATATTGATACGCATCAATAGATATCTTAGAGAGGAAAAATGACAAACGCACTTTATACTATGTGAATAAACTCACATTAATCGATTGCAACAAAACAAAAATGTCTTAAATGGCACGACATGGAATCAAAGATTCTTTGTACAATATAATTGACGTCAATTGCGAAGATTATCGATTAAGTGGAAGCAAGGGACAATGTATACCTTGTACGGTCCTGACTCCGTCACTGACAAAATGACTTGTTTCCACGTGTCATCATTGGAGGCCCTCGCATAGGTTTGAAAGATGGGGCTCATGGTCCCTCCCTTCTCGAGGTATACATGAAGAAAGATGTCATTTCCGTACAGATGGTACCAGAACTGCAGCACCAGGTCATTATTGAACTCCTGACTGACCAACCGAGCCCTGTCTCCGTCCACGTGACCAGTGTGCATGATTGTTGCATAGCCTCCAACTGTAACATATTATTAATTGACTGTAATATACACATTGGAATCCCCTGCTGCATGGCAAGAATCAATGTATACAGCTATCGACGTACTTTATCTCGTAGTAACTTTAACAATATAGAATGAGGAACTGTTGACTACAACATTACTCCAAGAACACGGCGTGTTAGGAACGCTGGACGGAACCAACTTACTATCATTTCCGAAGGTGTGGTCCACGATAGGTCCAGTCCCAAGCTCGGGTCTGCCAAAATCTTGTGCGAACTGTCTTGCAGCGGTTGGTCCTTGTGTAATGAGCCAGTCTATCTGGTCATCTGTTGCCTGTGTCCATCCGCAGAAATCCGTCTCAAAGTCACAGGACTGGGCGGAGACTAGTTTGTGAAACCAAATATTTCTTATAATGGGAGAAACAATCATCATCAAAGTCGACTGTAACAAAATCAATCATGGCAATAAAATATGCTAGACTCAATGTTTGCATCATAACAACGTATAATCATTAGGTTAACCTACAACAATCATAACAATGTAATCTAATCTATCACAACCTGAAAAATGTCTGAAGTGCAGTTCATATATAAAGTTAGTAGTGAGACAGTAAAGTATAATAAATTGCACTGTTTATATGACCCTCATTTTTGCCAGCTGTCCCTGGGACCCAGGTGTTATCATAGTGTACACTGGAGTAAATACCGTGTCTACAGGAGACCTTTATCCTTGTTTACATCAAAAATAAAACAATCAATTGCCGATTAACATTTCCATTGGGCAGCAACGAGAGCAATATTAATTTATTCCGCTTTGTGGTCGTGTTGAAGGGAAATGGATTTAACCGATTAGGATCCTAGTCTGTGGTCTAAGCTGAGAATCATCATTACATAGTACAGTATCAAACATGTCTCTTATAGTCGATCGTCTTGGGTAAACAATGAAAATTAGCATGTACGTATAGCGTCAAACTAGTAATTATAGTGCCTTTTTCAATCGACCACTCTACTTTTTCGTTTAGAACTCTCTGGCCAAGCTTACAAACATTGTTTGCTGCTACTGTATCAATATGCCGTTATAATAATAACCTCATTTACTTCATACAACACTTTCTGCGACGAGTGAAATGTAGAGTAAAGGGTGACCGGAGTGTGGTATTAGCTTTTGCTAACATTGCAGATCTTCAAAGCAATCCGACCGCTACACCTTATCTTTGTTTATGTTCTATTTGGCCCTATCTTACTATGATGTGTCTAACGTGCAAAATCCTACGGTATTTTACTAAAATGAGAGTGGGAGATGGTTACTGCTGTCTTGCAAGCTTTGGGAATAACGTAGTCATCGTTAAGAGCAAGGCAGGCAATTCTCTTCGCTTGACACCAATGAAATGTGATGTAATTGACACTGCCGTTGAACTATATAGGCAATATAGACGTGTAAACCTAGTTAATACAGCCCAAGCCATGTCATTGGTCACAGGAAATGTAACAGACATTACAATTGGAGCCGTCGTGAATGTGACTAAAGCCGTTCCGCGGCGCACCTGCCTGTCCGACCTGCGGTAATCCAGCATACCATCGCCTGCCCGGCAACTCTGTGTGCTCTGCGATAGGATTGCCTTCGTAATGGTGTGTAATAGAGGAGTTGGACAAACAGCGTGCCTTGTTCAACACAGTCATTCACACGACCTCTTAACCGCCTGTATTCGACTAGAACTTCATCTAAAGTGGCTTAATGTTGTGATATGTAGTTCTTTGTGTGAGGGTATATAGCACGCGTGGTGCGATAAAATACTTAAATTGTTTCAAATCTCTCCTCATATCTTAGCATTCCAGGACCGGGGATACAGTTATAGTGTAACGTGTCACCGAAGGAATGAGAATGCAGAGCCTCTTGAAGAGTTGGTATGCTGAAAATCGATATGGATTACTGAGATGGGGAATTTTCCATCGAATGCCCCACCGGCTGGGACAGAGCCCGGGTATCTGGAGATAAAATTAATTATAGCCACGGTGATAAGGAAATGTGTTGATCCTGCTTTATTGGTGGTGCCGGCTTGAGAGAACTGTGATTAAAATCTAGGTAATCTCTAAAACATTGGGACATGTTGAGTCAGCGGCTGGATATGTGGGGGAAAGGGGACCGACTCTTGAGTCCATGTTTTTCAAGAGAATAGTACAAATCATATCGCAACTACAAACCAAGCTGATGGTAAAAACTGAAGTTTTGTACTTTGTACGCGTGTGTTCTAATCGTCTGCATCTAGCCAAAACTAACACTCATTTGTTTGTTGTTATTATCACAACTATTACGACATCTTTTTCGACGAATATATCAACAGGATGTGGATAAGGTAGATTGTCCCTATGCTGTTCACTTAAGGACTCTGGTTTAAGGATTCAGTGTCGGTGAGACTCTTGGGCAAAATGTTAGAAAAAAAGTACTGTTCCAAATCTGTCCGATTGTATGTATGAATTTAGATTTTAGATAACAAAAAAAACTTTTATTTGTATATAGTTATCGATACGTCTTCCTATTCTCTGTCTATAGCTTCAACAAAGTATTTTTCACTCCGTAGTCAAGCGATTAGAAAGAAATTAAAAAATGTTGCTATTCCCAAATATCCGAATTACACACACACCAGGATAGAAAACAAAACAAAAGCATTAGCACCACAAAGCACACGGGGTATGTTTCTTCAAGCTGTTAACATGCAGTTTTTTCTTCTTTAAAAAAAGGTTTTAGACACTGTTTTTGGCAGATTGTTAAGCTAGTTGGTAGGCTAACCAAACACATTTGGACATATACTTGATACAAACTTTATACGCCTTGAACTTTGTAACTACGCAATATAGCCCGTTTGCTATAGTTGTTGCTACAAACTGAGCTTCGGTACTTCAATGGGTTTTTAATACGGGAAGAATCGGCAATAGCCAGCAACCGCCTCTCGATATAAAAATCGCTACTTGAATTGAGTGATCGACTTTTAAAGGTCTTAGAAATCATCCTTCGCTATGGATAAACTCGTAAATCCTTGGTAACGAAAAGCCATTAATTGTGAAGGAAGCAGTTGATACCGTTTCACTTTTAATAAACGAATAATATTTCTGAAAACTATAAATGGTCGCCATTTTGATTAGTGTAACTAGATGCATGGCATGGTTGACTAATGTACAGAGCAAGGAATATACGCAGTAGAGTTTAGAGCTAATTTAAATGTCTGAACATTAAAAATTCGTATTTCCTTGATATCCGGTATCAAAGCTTTTCTTGCCATATGGAGTCGTACACAAACAGACGATTCTAACGAAAACGATGTGTACTTACCAATAGTTGAGACAGCCAACAGGATAAAACACACAGCAAGTGTTCTTCCCATGGTCTCCATCTACCAGTCCGGCTTCTTCCACGCGTAAAAAAACAAGAGAACCCCCGATGTTCTGGTTTTCGTTCCGCAGACGTACCGACAGAGGCGGAAGAGACGACCGCGGGTTGTGGCGATGGGTGGGGGGAAATCGGACGACGTCGCGTGTTGTCATGACGACCGTGCTGTTTGTTTATTGGTTTGTGCAGAACTAATGGCCCTGGAGGATTGGTCCCACATACACCGGGATAAAGATGACAGAGGTCGTGCGCAGGTCCAACAAATATCAGGGACCGTCTCAGCAGTTCGTATAGCCCGAAAGATGTATTGTTTTGGGGAGTATTCGTATTTATGCTGAAGTCACAATTCCTACACGGCGGGCCCGGCCGGGCAGCTTTTGGTAACGAAAACTACGATATAAAAGATAACAAAACACAGAAAGGTTTTTAATAATAATCATGGGCACTATTTCTGTATATACTTAATATGAAATGTTAGTTTCCTTCATACAAACAGCCCGGCTGGGCACTGGTTTGGAAATGTGACCTAAGCATTAGACCGATCTCAAAGCAATACCGATCTCCGTCAAAACGCAGAAATGCAAAGTAAAAACATAAAAAATGGAACTATTTGCCGGACATGCTACCGCTATCTCATTGGTTTTTCCAACCTATTGCCATTCTCTCATTGGCTGTTCTGCTAATTGGGTTGGGCAGTCAGGCTGGGTCTACTACTAGTATCATGGGAGGTGGCCTTAAATAAATAAAGAAAGGAAACAGGTCCTCAAAAAAAGATAATAAGAGTTTACTAGTATTGTCACACGGCACTGAAGAGTTTCCGGTACAGAGTATATTCAAACATTGTTTGAAAACAGTGACTAATTAAAAACTTTATAATAGTAATATCAAAAGTACTTTAAAAGCCTGATATGTATATATACTTCATCATTGTAATTACACACAAGCAAGAACAAAACCTATCTATGGCAACACTTTTCAATTTTCGCAGTCAGGTAACTAGATACACATGTTTAAGCTATCTAGAGTAGTAAAATTTACACACACACACGCACACACACGCACACACACACACACACAAACTTTCATAACTGACACAATAGTGTATCTCTTCCTATAAGCTCCTCCTTTGTAGAAAAACTAATAAATATCTAACTACAGCTCCAGCTGAGTTTTGAGTTCATTACTTCATCCCAGGGGAGTATAGTATTGTTCTTGGCTAGGCTATGTATGTATGTATGTATGTATGTAATACTATGTATGTATGTATGTATGTATCGATGTATGTATCGATGTGTGCATGTGTGTATGTATGTATGTGTGTGTCTGTGTGCATTGTAAATGATTCTTTTCTCGGCCTTGGTTGTGTTACTGTATAAGTGAGTGAGTGAGTGTGTCTGTTTGTGTGTGGCGGTGAAGTATGCCATCCCTGTTTGCCTTTTAAACTATTATTTTCAGTCTTGGCCTTGGTTGCGTTACTGTTTTCAGGAGGTGAAGTCTGCCACTTCTGTTTGCCTTGCTTTGTACAATACCTACTTGTCCCCATTCTTTACCCTGGTTGTGTTACTGTATAAGTCATAAGGACCGCCGCTGACGTCCATCAGACCAGCTATGACCCGTTTATACTTGACCCACGGCATGTACCAGAAGTCTTTCGGGTAGCAGTACTCTGGGGAGAGGATCTTTGTCGGCGCGTGGTCTACGAAGTACCTGTTCAGATAACCCTCGTCGTGCTGAGCAGCTTCAACACCGTTTGTTTTATCCTCCGCTCTGTATTTGGCGCACGTGTCTGTTAGCCTCAGCATGGATTCTCTGTTCCCTCCAAACAGACCCCCAGCAAAGTACATCTCCCCTTCCGTCGGCGCTACGTATGCTTTACTGTCGGCATTTGTTTCATACGGGAAGGAGTATCTGTTTTTCCAGTAGAACCCTGGATGTAGCGTGCCGACCAACTCGCCCAGAGTTTCTTCGCCAAACTTCCCAACAAACTGGAAATCGACGTTCAAGCAAAATACGTAGTCTAAATCTTCCTCCTGTTTCAAAACTCGATTGTGGATTGCCTCCATCTTTGTCACCGGAGTTCCTTGTGACAGTTCGTTTAAGGAAATTGCGGAGACTTTCCGGTTCTTCTTGACCGGCAGGTTTGGAACTTTCTTAGAACCATCGGTGAAGACAAAATACATCACCTTCTGATTAGGCAGGAAATGTTCCTCAGCTGTTTGTAGAAAGTCCTGCAAGTAAGCAAAATTCTTTCCCATGGCGACTGTGACTAAACCGATGTTGACGCTTTTCTCAGGGAAGAGTCGTTTGGCTTTGTCGTAGTCGACAGTGTCGTCCCAGATCACTGGAGCGCCCCACGCACCGTACTTCGGGCGAGATCTGCGGAGGAACCAGCTGTCTAGGAACCACGGATGCATGGTCAGCAAAACTGTGAAGAGAAAATAACAATCTTTCAGTCAATGGTTTTTTAAACTATTAAATTTCGATTCAACAGCCAAAATCAAGGAAGAGGCAAATCTTTTTATTTTCATCCCATTTAACTACTAGTAAATTGTTTTAAAATCAAAACGCATATAAAAGTGATAATTGAACATACACACTTACCTATGATGATAGTGGCAACCAACAGAAGCATGAAAAACCGCCTAGTGCGCAGGTGCGAGGCCACCTGAATGTCTACCATGATTTGCATGTACTGTAGCCCGTCTTACTGCACAACTGCGTAGAAAAGATACCGTTATTTTCTTTCATGGCTATCATCAATATTAAGAAGCTATCCAGATTCAGTAAACTAATATCAGAATCATTGTCATTGTTCATATAGAAAAATACATATACCTACTAGTATTCATACCAACGCAATGCTAGTACAGTTATGCTTGTTAGTGCTGCCCCCTGCCAAGTTGGGAACGAACTACACCACACTATGTGCAGACTTCTTTGTCAAAGTCTACATTATCTCCACTATCTGCGTAGTACTAAAGCAAAGAGGTTTAGTGGGGAAAATCATGCGTATTATGCAAACCCCTTTACCAACGTGGTCTGCGTCGAGAAAATATTCTGTTTGGGTTGAAAATAGCTGCAATATGTTTCAAAATTATGTAACGTTACACAAAGGGGGAGGGTATACGTAGCGTAGGTGGAATCATCAACTATCATGATATGTCTACGCGCAAGAAACCACCTAACAGTACACTTACTACGACCAGCGTCATCGCTGCAAATTCGTGCTGGTTTCTAACCATTCTTACCTCGTGTGTCCTTGTGAATACGACGTCGGTAGCGGAGGTTTGAGAACTAACGGTGCATGTCAACAAAAGTCCGCCATCTTGTTTGTGTAATTAGGTACTTGACCTCTGACCTTTAACATGTGTCCATGGCAACGTTAAGGGTCTAAGTGAGTCCAAGGAGGTCTCTTTTAAACATCCTTGGTGAGTCCAATAGTCTAGGATGACTGAAAACAAGTTAGGTCGCACCAGCTTGATGTCTAGTAGTGTCTCTGATGTTGCAAGAAATATTTTCTAACAGGAACAAAGCAAGGGAACAAAGTGAATATACCAGGCTGGGTAGCATGTCAAACAATGGATTTTGAAATTACTAGTATACACAGACTTATTTACCGTCTTCATAACCCTATGGACAACTATTTAACTTGTAAATGCTGATACAGAAGGAATTAAAACAAAGGAAACACTAAGTCATTCTGTACAAGATTTTATTGGAAAGATTTTTGTTGTCCGGGCCACATTCACTTATAGTACTTCATGGAGGTCCACTGAGTATACATCCTTCCAAAAGCACAAATTTACAAAATTCTGATGGACAAAAATCGTCATTTATCAATTCTGCAGCATTACAACTTACAAGCTATTAATCAATAAAGCACCACTAGGGTGAAATATTGCAAATACATACAATTCTCCTTGCCTCTTAAAATACATAAATGATAAAACTTGCAGTGTTGAGAAATCATGTTGATATGAAACAGTACAGGCATGACAATAAGTGACTTAATGTTATGTCTTTTTTAAACAAAAGAATGATTTTGTAGATGTCTTTTTGATTACGTGCTGTCTGTTATCAACAACATCTAAAACTGTAACCTGTGTACTGCAATAGTAACCTATTGTTGTTAGGGAACTGTTTAGTTCAATGGTTTCCCCCTTGTACTCTAAGACTGTTGCCTTAGTTTTCTACACCAGAAATTTGTTCATTTTACATGAACCATTCAATTGGCTTTGGCACCTGTAACAGAATTAGTCCTTTGACAGAGAAGAAACAAATAGACCAACAAGCTTAAATATGACTGGCCATTCAGGATAAAAACCAAGAACTATTGCAATTAATGAAAGCATCTGGTGGGAACAGAAATTTTCCATAGGAAAATTGAGATCCCACTGCCATGAATTTTTCAGCAGACTCACTCTACATATACAGTCTATCTATCTATCCTTGGACCTAACAGTCTGGATAAAGAATCCATCATATCTGGATCCTTGTCAGACAACAAAGACTTCATAAGAAAGATTTCATTTCTGCATTTCCCACTTTCTTGTGCTACTGCTGTACAGAGGCCTCCTCCTTTCTCTCATTCTCTTTTTCCTTCACTCCTCTCATTCTTTCAATTATCTTGTTTTTTTCAGCTCAGGCTTGACGGGACAAAGACATTTTGCTTGGTCTCTGTTGTTTCCTTTCCATCCACCTTTCAGTACTTTCTCTGCTTTTTGGCAACACCTCAGGAGTGGAGACATTTTTATAAGATGTCCTCTCATCAACAGTCTATTTTCTGACAATCACATCTTTTTATTGTAAGGCCTGGGGAAACTTTGAAGTCTTCTGGGCAGTCTTTTCTTTTTCACTGTTGTCGTCCTGTTTGTAGTTGTTCACTCCCAGCCAGCCAGTGCTGCTCTTTTCTGTTCGTTTCTTCTCCTGAAGAAGGACTTGAATCCTTCGTAACAGCTGATCATGATGGCACAAGCCGGCGCAACTTTCACCACCCTGGGGGTTAGACCTGTGGGGGTGGGGAGCAACAATAGAACCTTATGTGAGACAAAGGATGATATAGCTACAGGAAAAGGCAACTTTACTAAACCATAAACACATATGAATCATTGAATCTCAAACATAATGTGAAAATGACAGCGCTGAGACTGAATTCGACTTTGAATTCGGTTTTGACTTAATTGTCTTTCTCAAGCACATACGAAGATACATTTTGCTGATAAGCAGTGAAAATAAAATATCAGTTTTCCCTGACCTGCGAAGAGCGCCTTTGGCCCATTTTGTATCCATAACCTCCTCATGAGTATAAATGTACTGGATGACTGGGGCACCCCTGTGTACAACACAACAACAGTGGTGAGAGTTACAGGCTTCAACAATGAGTGTTATCCTCTGAAAATAAGAAGTTAGAAAAATCAGAAACACTCCAATTTTACATCATTATATGAACTAATGGCATCATTTTTGCTTTGACAAAATCTCTTGTTTCTCACTGGACATTTCTCAAATCAAAATGAAGAAAACAAAATGAAATGAAAAATGATGAAATGCAAATGAACGACTAACACCCATGAGAAACAAGTGACCTTGTACGTGTAACATCAACCTTTCACAATTCCACCAAGTACATTTTTTGTACCACCGCATTAAGAAAAACATTGTTATTGAGGCCTTTTCAATGTCTTGAACAGCTAAGTGTGCATACCTTGATGATGATACTGATACTGAATTATGCCATGTCTTAACATTTTTCAAAATGTGTCAGTCACTCTTAAGGTACCTAGCAGAATTATGACAGTTGATGTATGTGAGATTGGTGAGTTTTAGAAAAGTGAAGACTAGTGACCGTACAGTGTAGCCTCTCCTGTTGTATATAGAGGCAGTTGGTGAAGGCAAGACTGCGCCCACAGGCTTGGTTACAGTCTACAGAGGAGGGAGGCAGTTATCACCGCAAAGCATTAACAAGCTGGGTTATCAAACTGGAACGATAAAGCATTGGCTGGTGCAGTCTTATACAATCTGGAAAGAGATACAGATATATTTGTTTTCAGCTTGAAATTTCATCTGTGTTGGAAGTCGTTCTAGACAAAGAATTTCTGAACTGTGATTTCACATAGAAAATATTGAATGTACCCAACTTTTTCTCTGTTCAAGTCCAGTTTGTCAGTAAATGAGCAATCCATCAATTCTATGTTAAATGTTTGTTTTGATCATAGGAAAATTAAAAAAATACTCAGAGCATTTTCAAAATGGTGGTGCATTTTCTCATCCCACAGCTTTACCCAGAAGTAAATTTTCTCTACCATTCAGAAAGAGGGGTGTGGCTTTGAGCTGATACAAGAAGACTCATACGTATCTCTACAAAGCAAAGGAAAACAAAACAAAAAACATCAAAAGCACCAGATGTTAGTTTAAGCAGAACAATCTTGCAAAAACATGAAAGGTTGAAACTCCCGTACTTTGCATGGTCTCCATCTCTCCCAGTTCTATCTGTCTGTGGGTCTTGATCACATCAAAAGGCAGAGTCAGGACTGCTGCAATCTGTGAAGAAATATTGAACATTGTATGATATTTCATCGTAGTGTCATCATAAGAGAACAGGGGACTGTTCAAATTGTTCCATGGTGCAGTCCTGCTACCAGTACGAGTATTAATTTATGATATACAAAAATAATTTTTAAGCAAAGTCTACTTACTGTTCCTGAGGTTGCTCCAGCGAAGAATGACATCACCAGGGTTGGTTCTTCTGTATGATAGACTTCACAGAGCTGGGACTTAAAGTACTCGTAGTTCAACCAGTAGAGAGCTGGGGGAGGGGGGCAACAGTTAGCTTAAGAACAAGACCAGAAAAATCCCAACAGTGCAATCAACAAAGCAACAACAGATATGTGGAAAAATAAATTCAAGTTTCCACTCTTTCTTGGGTAATTTCAACTCAACTAAAAAGCTTCATACATTTACTAGAATTATGCACAAAACACATGTGAAGAGATTTACCTGAAAATGGAACATCTCTGAGTACAGTAGGTCCCCAGCCCCTGTACAGGGACAACACACCTCCACTCTGAACAGAACTTCTGATACAAGACTTCAACTCTGCAAGGACAAACAGTGTACAATTACTGTAATTCACTTCATGTTCACGGTAGGAAATGTAACATTCAAGGTCTCAGAAAAATTGAGGTGTTCACTAATGGAACTATATGTTCATGGGGGCAGCAGGTGTAGAAAAAAAAGCGAATTATTTGTTAATGGTAATGATAAGTTTGCAGTATATAAGATAAGGAATGAGTACCTTGGTATGTAAGTTTCTTGGACTGCATTTTTGTTCTTATCAACTCCAAAGGGCTGATGGCTGTGACAGCAATTACTGGAGATACATTGGGGGAAAATCATATTTAAGTTTTACATTTTCATATCTACTTCAGTGTATAGAGCTCATATATACAGTAAAAACAGTCAACCCTGTCAATCAACTTAAGCCCACTCTCCACCCACTCACTTTCAAAATACAACCCCCTACACACACAAACCAATGCCACCAAAAACAGTACTACCAAATTACATCTGTTTAAAAGAAAGTCTAGCATGAGGATTATGATAATGAGCTTACTTCTTGCTATACTCCCGGCCACGATCGGTACCGTGTAGTTCTTCTTCCCCGGGACGAACCCCATGGCTTCCTTCAGGTTATCGTACGCCGTAAAATACACCACCGTCGCTGGGACCGCCATTATTCTGTAGTCACACAGAAAACAAGCAGTCAAACCTAAAGTCTTCTGACAAACTGTGTCCTTCTGTCTTCACATGAACTTCAGATCTAGCTTTCAGAGGAGCTCACATTTATATACACATATCTGTACATGTTTCACTAGTTCATCATGCACCTTTCTAAATTAGTCAATAAAGAAATGCCTTATAAACATTAGATACTTAACCATCAGAACATAATGCTCTTGCAGAAAGGGTTGATATGATCCTACCTACTGTCAGAGGTTAGTGCATTTGACAGTTTTTGGCAGTGAACTTGGGTGTCCTATGCACTGGTGACCTCATAAGTTATGAGGCTATATGATATGGTTATGACTTATAACCATATCATATAGCCTCATATCTTATTATATCATACAAGTTATAACCTCTCCAGCCTTGAGAGGCAAATGTGAACTTCAACATTGTACATGTGTATTTAAAATCCAATGTATCAATAAAATGTATGTTGCTTGCAAGGCTAATGTATCAATAAAATGTAGCAACACATTTAGGTTCTAAAGTTCCTGTCATTACTGAGGGAATAACACAGAACTTACAGGGTAGGCGGCAGTCCACTCCATAGAGACCTCAACCCTTCCTTTCTGGAGATCTGTACAAAGGCATCCTGCAGAAAAATGGTTGTGATGACACATGTTATGATAGACTAGACTTTAATTTAAGCATACTTTTCCTTATTATTTAGAATCAGGCAGACCAATGTTAAGTTCGAAGACAGTACTGTGTGCCAGAAGTTGAGATCCAAAATACATGCAAAACTTCTTGTCAATTTCTTAATTGTACCTTTCAATCCGTCAGAAAAATGTTTTTTAAATGGCTTTCAAAAGACCCGACTTCTACAGTAAATAATTACAGTTTGTTAACTTTAATCATTAACTAAACTCACCAGAGTTCCGTTGAACTTGCCGGGCATTCTGTACCAGGCTTTGACCGATGAGGTACCGCTGCCGTTCAGACACACACAGATGTGGTCCATCAGCCCATTACAGTACAGGAAACAGTTACCTACAGGGAAAACACATTCACAATATCAACACCAACTACGTATACTTAGATATTAACAAAATTTAGATCAAAGTATCATGATACATATAACATATTATTGTTAAAAAAACAGTACGCTCATCATGTACGGGTCAATTTTACCTTTTGTGAAGGGTTTTTGCTGGGCTTGAAGACGAATTTTCACCACGTCAAGGGGGGTGACTGGACGATACACAAAAACAATAATGTTATGTGTGCATCATATATACATTGGTAAGCTAAAAACAATCTTCAAATATCGTGTAACACGGGCAATATAAACAAAAGAAATTACTTGTGCAACAGGACATAGGTTGAATAATAAAGTATAGTATTACACTATTAGGTAACATCAATTGCACGTCTTGGTTCTAAATTATAAGACCATAGCCAAACCGAATGCTAAATATTTTGGCGAAGGTAAATATAATTAATGGAAAGAATTTGAGACCAGTACCCAGACATGCTGAATGTGGCACATGGATGTCACACCTTTAAATAGCCACACAGCCATGGCACTATTTTGTTTACATATATGAGTTCACTGTCAAATGTAGCTTGAGGGTCCATTATGCAGTATATTGTAAGGAACCACTGTTACAATCATCTATCTACATGTAGTAACTGGCTGAATCCCATCTCAAAATAGAAGTGGGAATTTCAGACAGAAAAGGTGACCTGTATCGAAAACAAATATGGCAAACAAGTATTCATATGGCCACAATCATTACACAGACAGTGTATCGGCTGCCTAACTGACCTATTTCCCAGTGTTGACATCAGCTGGGTGCATGTGGGTTATAATTTTATGTCTATCTAATCTAGGGCTTATGAACATAATTTCTTTTTTTGTGCAATATGTGATTCTTGACATTACCACATGGCAAAACAAAACGAGTTATAATATTCTTATAAGCAATATGTCACTGTAACATCTGTTTTTGCTGAAGCAACCCCTACAAAATGTCATGAATGTTTGTATGAGCAGAAACCAGAGATGGCTGATGTCATGAACATAAGTCAAGGTTATATATATATATGCAAGACTGAACTTGAGAAAGTAAAAACACTACAAATACATGCACAGAGAATCTAAATTCAAAATCAATGTCTGTGCCACAGAATGAATTAATGAATGAATGATTGATTTCATAAAGCATCACAGCATCTAAAAATTGAGGAATAATTGAAATAATAACATGTCTGACAAAGTGACATTATCGGTTTAGAAATAAATAAAAATATGTAATCACATCTGGTCGGACAGCTATAAAACGTATTGTTAAGAGTCATATTTTGTTTGTAAACATCCCTGATTTACATAGAGAATATGGCTGTCTAGACCTTATTATCATCAGCGGACCTGATGACCCAGTTTTATCTCCTGCCACGTGAGCCAAACATGTGCTGGTCCTGAATATGGGTAAGGGGGATGGGACTCATAGAGGGGTTTTCATGGGTAGAGGTTTTGTTTGGATTACTGAAGGAAGGGTATCAAAACATGTACTACAATGTTGGAATCAAATGACAGAATCTTTTTACCTTTTTTTAACATACAGTAACAGTTCATTTAGATGGGATTCGAACACAATGACCTTATTTAAACCAAAAGGCCACAAATAAATTTGTGCCACCTTGGGTTATACTTATAGAAGGAATGAATGTACTGTTTTAATACTTTGTTTGTTTGGAAGGAACTAGATGTTGTGCAAAATGAGACAAATAACAATCCATTGTGCAGAAGTGCAGAAAACCCCCTTAGGAGCCGCAGACATGTTTTGAACTGGTTTGAACCAGCTCCACACAGTAGGGCCTTGTCTGGAATAGGTCATCGACCTTTCAAAAGTCAACATCTCAAACTCAAAGGTCCTCAGGTGCGAAGAAAACAACATGAAGACAAACAGATCAAGACTTTGCTTCCAATTAATTTTTAAAACCAGGAATAAGTCATGAAAATAACAAGGAAAACCAAGGGGAAAACAAGCTGTGCATACTAAATTCTGAACAACACGTGCACAGGCATACAAAAATATTATGTGGCGAATATTATATGATCAGCTGAGGCTCTCATAAAAAAAAATTTCTATGGCCAGTAAGAAGACACTTTTTCCTAGACTTACCAAATAAAGACGTAAGAAAGGCCCCAGAGCAAGACGCTGCCATCTGCTGCAAAGGAGTGATCCTTGTCGTGTGACCTCTTCTTGCCATGATGTTGCTCACGTACAGTCCCTTCCAGTTATACAGGCTTTCTGCTATCTCAAAGTCCTCGGCAGCCACATTGTACACTTCTACAGACAACCAGGTGTCTAGGACTTTCTTAGAAAGTCTTCTTGTCCTCAGGAGAAGCGGTAAAACGTCCTTGAGATCATGGAAGTTTCTGAATCAGATGTTTGCACGTTTGCAACAGACCCTCTTTCTGCTGGCTTACGCAAACTTTCCCGTCATGCAATATCTAACCTTTGACCTGCACAAGGGGCGTGTCTTTTACGCGGGAAATTCAAATCGTAATCTAAGGGAGACACCATATGATATGATATGATGCAAAAAGTACAAGTTTTAAGAAGGTTCATATATTAGTTTAACTTACCATTCTATGACGTAGTATTACATACTGTGATGTAATTCAATCGGGTATTTCCAGTTCCAATACTTTTAAAACCAAATTCATAAGTTGTGAAATCTATTTCTTGGTGTGTTGTTGCCACATACATTAAAACCTCTACGACAAAAATTGAAGAAATACGTCTGAAAACAAGTCGACCATGAGTGATGTAAGGGTCATTTATTTACATCATAAAAGACATCAATTTTCGTACCAATTATCAGCTATTGTAATGCAATATTTACAGCAATGTTTTGTGTGAGACAAAATACTAGTTGCATCCTCGATCAGTTACGGTGTAGTAGTGCAATCCAGGAATACTCATGAACTTAATACATTTTTCATCATATATCTTCATATTCATCCAAAACCATATCAAGTTTAGACTTCTAGGCCAATAGATGAAAACCTAGAAAGATATTTCAATAATTGAAATTTTCTTTCAAATATCTCGGGCAATCCTTGTGCCTATAGGTAACATTGCTACTTTTATATAGTACATTTACATGTTAACGTTACGTCACAAATTACTAGCACACAAGTTTGCTAGCACTAACTCTAGCTCTGACCCGGCACATTATCTGTATAATGTTCTTGCTCTGACAAAAAGGAATGTATGTACTCACCGAATATACTAGTAGTCGTCTACGCAAACCGTATTTCGTCACCTACGTGAACAATTTCGTCACTTATGTTGGCCATTTCTCATTACGTAGTTCTTTTCGTCACTTACGTAGACCATTTCGTCACTTACGTAGACTATTTCGCCACTTACGTAGACCATTTCGTCACTTAAGTAGACCATTTTGTCACTTAGACCATTTCGTCACTTACGTAGACCATTTCGTCACTTACGTAGCTACGTAGACCATTTCGTCACTTACGTAGACCATTTTGTCACCTACGTAGACCATTTCGTACGTAAATTGTGTGGTTTGTGCAGGAATATGTCCTCTAGGGGCCACTAGTAGTGTGGCAGAATAGTAATGGTGTTAGAGACATTATCAGTTATTATCAGCTGCCCTGCAGGTCCAATGGCAATAGAAAAGACATACCTTACCCCAGTATAAACGTACCGGACAAACTGGCCGTTGCGTGTGTACATCTCTACACGATTGTGTCCGAAGTTGATTGTCAGGACGTATCCAGAAGTGGTACCGGTCACACATAGCCCCATCAGACTGTAATTTATTTTGCTTTGTGCACCTCTAGCACCTTTGAACTTGTGAACAAGGCTTAGGGAGGAAGTGAAGACGTAGACGTAATTAGTCCCTGAATGAAAAGTATAGACGTTCCCGTGATAGTCCACGTCGACGGATTTAAAACACCCGCCGGTCTGCCTCGCACGGTACGAGGGGTGATCCAAAAGTTCTCGGCCTCACCTAGAAAATAAAGGTCAAACTCCTATTCTTTAGTATAACTGTATACTATGACGTCTTACATCACTGCACACAAAAATTCAAATTTTTATATTCATTAATTAGCACGTGACGCCCCGTGAAAATGGGGTGGGTGAGGGCAAAATCACAAAATGGCCGCAACAGAAGCGTGTGCTGTGATCAAGTGTATCGATAAAAAGGGATGTCTCCTAAGGAAATCCGTGAAGACATGGTCAAGACACTTGGTGATGACTCCCCTTCTTATTAAAATATAAAGAAGTGGGTTGCTAGCTACAAGCGCGGCAAGGAGAGCACAAAAGATGAACATAGGTCAGGATGCCACAAATCAGCACCACGGACAATCCAGTTGAGATCACACATCACATGGTAGTAAATGACAGATGTGAGACTGGCCAAAATGTAGCAGGTTCGTTGGCCTGTGTTATGACTCAGTTCACAATGTTTTGTCGAACATCCTGGGGATTAACAAACTGTCTGCATGGTGGGTGCCTCGAATGTTTTCTGAACATCAGAAGTTAAACAGGCGGGACATTTTAAAGAACGAATTCTTTCCAATCCATGCAATTTCCTCAAAACATTTGTAACCCAAGATGAGCTGGGTTCACCACTTTCCCCCCGAATCAAAACAGCAGAGCAAACAATGGATGAAGAATTTTTCCCGGCCCTCCAAGAAGTTTTAGCGACTTTCGTCCGTTGACAGGGTTTTTGCCTCTGTTTTCTGGGACAGTAAGGAAGCAATCATGATTGACTACCTGCGAAGGGGTTAACGCATCAATGGGGAGTACTATTCAACAGAATTACGACAGTTGAGGACAACGATCAAAGAGAAAAGGAGAGGAAAGCTCCGAGCTGGCCTGCTAAGAATTCACCTGTCCACACAGCACAGGGGTCAGTGGCAGCAGCAAACGAATTTGGGTTTGCAGTCTAACCCCACCCTTCCAATTCACCTGACCTAGCACCATTGGACTTCTACCTGTTTCCTAAACTCAAGTTCCAATTACGTGGTCAACGTTTTGATGGTAATGATGACGTCATCTATGCGGTATAGGCCAATCTGGGGGGTCCAGATGCAACCTTCTTCCACAAGGGACAAATAAAGCTGGAACATCACTGGACCAAGTGCATTGCAGTTAGAGAGGACTATATTAAAAAATAGTGTAAGAAAAATTTTACTGCCATGACGTTTTCTAGGTGAGGCCGAGAACTTTTTGATCACCCCTCGTATGTGTGCAGTACCACACCGTCCCGCCGGAGGGCGGCAACAAACAGCCAACTGGGGTCAAACCCTGTCACGACGATGTTGTTGTTCCGTTTGTCTATGACCATGCCACCGACCGTCAGGAAAACGTTGCCTATCGAGAAGCCGCCTTTGACACAACCACTTGAAGTGTACTGTACAATATATCTCACAGTCATAGCCATAGGGTCAAAATTAGTAAGCCCCATTACCCATAAATGACCCTCGGAATCCATGGTGATAAAGTAAGGCTTCATCAGCTGGTTTTCGTCGCCTGGAACGAGCGTAGGAAACATGCGCAGATGTGCGCCTGACAGGTTGTGGACTTGGATCCGTCTGTTTCGGACGTCCGACACAAAAATCTCGTTTGCCGGGGACACCACGACCCCGCGCGGCCAGTCAAACTCTCCGGGCCCTGATCCTCTTCGGCCGAAGGTGACTCGACCGGGTACAGTTGGGGCACTCCTCATTCCCTCTGAAAAATACGGCAAAACGTCTCACAATAATCAACAGGTTTTAATTCGGAAATTTCAAACCTCGTGAACTGTTGAACGGATTCTATGACGTAATTCAATCGGATATTGCACACAGGCAGCCACTTTCTGAATTCCCCCCACGCACCACCCACTTACTTCAAGCCTGTACATGCTGGGTCATTTTCAGGGTTAATTTCCCTGTCCGTTGTCAATTCATATCGCGAGATGAAACATTTTATAAGCCACAAATGCACAAGCAACGTACGCGCAGTCTTATAAGTAAAATAACTTTCTTCACCTTCTTCCTCAGGATCCAGCTCCTGTGAACAATTGGGTAATTTCAGAAATGTTTTCAGTCCAAAATTGGTTTCTGTGGTTTGAAGTGGTGGAACCTGATGGAATGAAATAAATGTTTGATATCGCCTTGTAAGAGATCCATATATTTTTTGTGAGTAGTGCCGAAACTACTGGTATCTACTCTGATGGAAGTTATGTAAAAAAAATATCATATGGCAACAAGATGCCGATTTAAAGATTTATTTTACTCACAGGGGTGGTACTTGTGGAGGCTTCATCTGTTTTCATTTTCATAAAAGACGTAGATAGTTCTTGTGACGCAATTTCCGGATCCGTCATGGCTTCAGTCACAGATCTAGAATCTCCCAAAGTGACAGACGTATTTATAGATCCCTGAGTCGATAGTAGCTGAAAAAGAGAAAATATTTGCTGATTATCAACTGACTAGATTTAGCTTTTGTCTCAAACTTCAGCCAAAGCATGCCACCAGTGAGGAGGGGATAGGAAGACTCAGTCTTGCCACAACGCCACATTGCGGTAAGGAGCAGTGGTGCAGTAGGCTGAAAGATATCGGACAGAAATGAGAAACCCAAAATATGCAGATGGCACAGAAATGGCCTATTAAACAATTATTACCAGAACAGCTGTGACGTCATCTTCCTTTTTGTGCCAGCTGGAGACGCTAAGTAGGAGAGCGACTCCTGTGATGATCAACGTTGCTATGACGACGGTCGTCCTGGCAACGCATGCACGATGGACGCGAGAAGTGATGTGGCAGCGTTGGTCACATAAAATTTCTTGCTCCTCATCTGTTGATGAGATGCAAAACAAAGTGGAATTTGAAAATCTATCTGGTATATATTTCTTGGTGCGGATGCGTATTTAGTTTACAAGCAATCAGTATTATAGACTTCTAGAACTAACCAATATAATTCTGTTGAAATAAAAAGAACATCCCAATGTATGTCTGATCGTCAACTCAAATTCAAATTCTTATATGATCCTAATACCTATATCATTGTAAGTTGACCTGGAATGATCCACTGCCATCTGTAAATATGTATTTTATGTACATATTCAACTAAGCTTTTTCAGGTCAATTGGTCTGAGTTTTGACTCCAAAGGAATTCGAAGGAAAGCCACGGCTGGAAAAGATTATCTTCTGTAGTGATTTAAAAATACGGATGTGGGAGTCAAATAAAAAAGAAACTTGGTGACAAGGCAAAAATATTGACGTACTCTTGCTGATGCTGTCTGAATCTGCCGGTACGCCATCATCCCGTGCAGATGGCATGCCGTGTCCCTGCTGATGTACAGGATGGGCTTCATCATGGACCTCTTCTGGACTGTTGGAGAAACTGGTTTCCGTAGTGGAGGCTCCAGGGCCACAGATTGTCACGTTGAAATCTTGTAAGGGAAAACTGACGGGTTCTGCCTTGCAGTAAACACCTTGGAAGCTTGGATCGTCTTTACGCTGTGAACTGTCACTCTCTTCTCCGGAATGTGAAAAACCTCGGCTGGTACTCGAGTGGACTACCGGCTCGGCGTCTTCGTAAAGATGAGGGTGGCGATGGTCGTGTGGTTGCTGCAGGCGTTGTTGTTGTTTTTCTCCGCTGTGGCTAAACTGTTTATTACGTGGTAAAATGATGACCCTTGGCTCCAGGTACACATGGTCAGTACCTTCACAACACACCTGCCGATCACAGTCGACTGGGGCTCTTCTTTGAGCCAACCGGTCGTCATCAGAAATATTTGGCATCATCATGATCTCAAAGATTAATACCCTAGGCCTGAGACACGGTGTACAATAGGCTTAGGATACCTGTGGTTCCAACTCGACTGTAGGTCGACCTACATAGAAGTAATTGTCTGCAGTCTGCAATGACGTCTCGTGCAAACCCTGAAGGTTTCCATGGCAACAGCAGACCGACTGTCCATCAATACTAGTATCAGCAGTTCGGCCAATGAGAGACTGGCAGCCAACGGTTCAACCAATGACAGGGTTGCTGCATGTCGGTAAAGAATTTGAATTTTTATGTTTTTATTTTGCGTTTCTACATTATACATGTACATTTTGCGGGGCCGGATATAGGATCGGTCTATTGCAATACGTAATGCCTAATGGAAATTTGACAAGGACAAACTCCGAATGAGCATAATCTTCAAGTGTTAAATGTGTCTTCAATTCTGCATTCTGCACTGGCAGATAACCATATAAATGTAGGTGAAGCGCTTTCTTTTATAACTTCCACTCAACATACTAGTACATACAGTAACAAACACACGTACGCAGCAAGAGTATGGTAAAAGATGTTCCTTGTTTTTTTCTCTCACGATCACAGATTCAGAGGAATTTGTACAATAGCAGGTACAGTACATATAATTGCCACATCCTGAGAGACGAGAGTTGCCTGGGTGCTGGGAATCAATCAGAACTGTTAGAAAAATACACTTCTGTTCCAGGTTACAATCAGAATAATATCCCAAAGGCTCCAACCCTGAGGCGTAGCCAAAAAATTCCACACTATGTTCAAGTCATACAAACAAGATACGCACATACATATATTTCTCTGGGCTGTTACTTGGCCTAAATGTTTTTTAACGATACATAAGGTAACCCCCATTGCACAAATAGAACAATCCATTCTGGTGGAAGGTACCATGCTGTGGGGCAAACCATTTGTATTCTGGGGGTATACCTAGGTAGACATAGACACTGGCCATATTCATGGAGCAGAGAGAATAAATTATATCTCCACAACCCTCAAGAACAATTATAACATTCCAATAGAAGGTGGCAAAAGTCTTGGGCCAATCCATGTATTTGATAACAATGGGCTGATATAATTTAAGAGACGTTTTTGTGAGACCCCTTTGGCAATAATGGTACAATCCATACACATTGAAACTGTCCTTGGAGTTGGAACAAACCAATTGGATTTTAGTTTAATGGGGAGGGGGCAATTTGAGACATTCATATTTCTAATTCTTTGAATTTACAGCTACGCCATTTTTTTGACAAGTGCTCCCTTGCACTTCAACAAACTTGTGCCTTTTTAGATAAATGCTAGTGACCACAACATGCACAAATTTCGGTACCTTTCCAAACAGTAACTTCATCACATTTCATTGATTTTCCAATTATATCTATCACAGTGAGTTAAGTATTTCAGGGGAAGGGTTTCATAAAAAAACTTTCAACTTTTGGGATATTTGTCTGTGGACAAATCCAATAAGTGATCTTGAATTTTATTTGCGACACACAGGTTAAGACTTTGCAAAAAAATACCCATTAATGTGGAGATACTTTTCTTATTTGCTAGTATTAATACCAATTTTCTTCCTTCCCACATGTATTTTTACCAGGGAAAGTGCGTGGAATCGTGGATAACCATGCAGAGATTCTTGGAGATCATAAAGCCATACAAAAATACTTGAAAGACATCGTAACACTCTATAGTAGTGATGTTTCACACTGTAAACAGCCACCCCTAGTTGAAAATGGTGCAGTCCAATCTCTGCTATGTATATCACAGGGATTATACCACATGATGGCCTGACAGGGGGGTTACAGCTTCTCCACTGTAGTAAGGAAACGCTACCCATCTACTTTCTCAAAATGAGGAATTATAATTCATAAGATTTTGTAAGCATACAGTACAAAAAGTTGGCGTATACACTTTATTTTTACTTTCTCTTGCCGCCCAAGCCATAGCCAAATAAATACCAAATATATGCAACTTCCATTACATTCTATGCAATCTGTCGTTATTTTGTCATACAATACACACTATAATTAATATTTCAAAGTGCATTATGTACAAAGATTTGGAGTTGTTTCTATGGTGGCCTCATACAGGCCCTTTATACACAACATCTGTACAAGTAACAAACAACTGTCTTACTGTCCCTGATGGAAAAGTTCATTTAAAAAACAAAAAAACAAAACAACTGCTGTACAAAATAGGGGGTGCCCTCGATAAAGGAAACACTGGTTGAGAAGACCTCCAGATGAGGGAGTGTAGCAGCAACTTGGAACAGCAGTCACGTGACCTCCATTGCCAGTGTTGTTTCACCTATACTATTTACAAGTCCATCCTCATGGTTTTCCCTGGAAACAAAAGAAACAAACAAACAAACAACACAGTTATTATCATAGAATGGGTAAAAACAATTTCCTTTTCAAAGATTTCATTACTTGAAAATAAAAAAATATTTCAAACTGTGGGAACTTGTTTATTGAATACAGGATGAAACGAAAAAATCAGATTTCAAACTTTCACTCATTTCAGAACCCAAACATACAAACCTAGCATAAAAAAAGCGCCACCCAAAACAATACTTCTGTCCCAGGGAAGCAAATACACAGCAGTAACCATGTCTTACCTAGATATACTATCTACATTGTTGGCCATACTGTTAGACGTCGGCGCTGCCAGTTTTAAAACAGCTGCGTTGCTAGGGGCGACCATTCTGGCCAATGAGGACGAGGGATTTGGTGTGACGGCCCCTGCAGCTGACGGTGTGGGGGGCGCCTGCGGACTGCCCGTTCTCGTGGTGGAGGTGACGAGAGTGGTTGCAGGAGGAGGGGGGTTGACGGGGACAGGGGGGGTCTGGGAGAGGGGGTAGTTTAGTTGTAATACTGCTGCAGGGGGGGAGGTGGAGTGTGCTTTGTTGGTTCCTGGAAGAAGAGCAAATTTGTGGCATTAGTGAGAGGATTTATGTCTTGCTTTAAACATTTTTACCTATGTTTTAACTACATTGCTGTATCTGAAAATGGAATTGCCTAACATAATCAACTAACAACATGCTTTATCAACATAGTTTATGCTGTAAAGATGTTGTATAACTTCCCATGTGTGCAAACAGTGATCCAAACTTGTGCACAATGCAGTTAGAAGCCATGCATTTCTCGATTAAAACGTGTGCAAAAGCCATGCACTTCTCCTTTAAATCGTGTTCATATTTCGGATAAAACAGGTGTAAGTAGTGTCCAAGCTGCATTGTAAACTGAGCTGCAAAGTTAGGTTTCTAACAACATGGCTACAATGGTCACTCACCTGACCCTGTTGCCTCAAGTACACCGTTGTGCGCTGATTCCGTTCCCTCCCGTAGCTTCAGCGAGGTATCCAGGTTCTCTGTGTTCGACACCACAGCTGACACAGCAAACTGGGCGCTGGCAGAGTCCACCGTAAACCTGGCAAAAATAACAGGGAAAAACAAGGTTAATGTCAATACTACAGAACAAGCAACACAAGCCAACACAAGGTCTTGTGGTTTAGGGTTGACTTGGAATATGAAGGCTATAGGTTTGATTCCTTCACAGGCCCCAGTGTTATGTCCTTGGAATTTACATCTATTTCTTCACTTGACTTAGGTTAAAATGAGCACTGAGCTTCAATAAGGGACGTGCTCTCAGATAGGACATTGAGTTGGGGGTCCAATGTTTGAGAAGAGGCATGCCTCAAGCACTTTAAAGAACCCACAACACTACTCAAAAAGAGTAGCGGTCAAAGTGAGTGTTCCTTCATCATCATCATGCCTCCGGAGTGTTCCTTGTGTTATACTATTTATGAGACGTTCGTGTTGGATATGTCATGTACTGAGCCCTGTTCTTACCTGGAAGTTGGTTGTGAGGAGAAGGATTGGTTAAGGTTGGTGGACACGGCCTCGTCCTGCTGAGCTGCCAGCTGCTGCTTCTGCATCTGTACCAAAAAATACCTGCCGTTACCTTCACTCCATGTAACTACTGCATTCTGTATAACATCTCATCACGTCGGTATAAGAAGGTTTTTAATTCAAAACCAGTTTGGGGAAGCGATACCTAGCTGCAGTACAAATCAGAACCAGACATTGTTGCTCTGCTGCAGGTGACAGTCATCGAAACATCACATGTGAAATCCAACTGGTTGTCATAAAAAGAAGGACAGTACTTCCCCAATGTTGTCCTATCCATCCCTCCTGCTTTACTACTACACAATGCACATCTTTGCTAGCAATCAAGTTTCAACAGACACACACATCTAGGTCTACTCTACAGGGAGGACAGTCATAAAAAAAGCAGATATCCTTTTAAAAATCTGAAGAATTGAGGAAGAAAAGGTTTCAGAGTATCAGTAAAAATGTTGATCAAATGACAAAGGATATCTATGACTTTTTTGCTGAAGACAAAACATAGATACACAAGAGCAAAAACTTTTTCAAGGAAGAAAGGAACATGATCACACTCCTACCAAAGGAAGGCTGGAGTTGAACTGAAGATAAAAAAAGAAGAGTACAAAAACACAAGAGTTGGTCCAAAGCCACACATAAAGCAGAATGACTGGTCTCCCAGAGCAGGCATAGTTACCCCGAGGTTTACCTTGACCAGCTCTTGTTGGTGGTCGTGGAACTGTTCTGCCGAGATTTCCTCGGGCGGAGAGGCGGGGAACGTGATGAGGCTGGAGAGGTGGTCGCTGAAACTGGGCGGGGCCTGCGAGGGCGAGCTGTCGTCTTCCGACGGGGGCGACCGCGGTCTGAAGTGCCGCCTTGAGTAAAACAGCAGGTTACACACCACAGCATACACAAGCCAGAGAGGACACCTGGCAGTTTCTATAGGTACTGCAATGGCTCAATGCCAAAAGAATTTACTACAGGGAACAAGTAAATCTGTAATTCTTTCCAAGAAACCAAAAAAAAAAAGACAAAAACATTCCCTTTCAAACTTTCGACTTCATTTACCACTATCCACATATGTGACAACATTTGGTTATATAACTTAACATATATATATATAACATAACTTTTTGTCTTAAAACTTTCTAAACTTTTTCTGAAAAAGCTCGGTTCTCACCACTTTTTGTTCCTAATGTCAGTTAGCCAACTGGGAGGTAGTCCATTGGGGAGAGAACTGGAGTTGGAAAGGTCAAGATCCTCTAGGGCGTCGTCAAAGGGAGTGAAGACTCTATCAAGTATTACCCTGGAGGGAAAGAAAGGCAGTAAGGGTTATAATTAGGCTTTGTTGACATTCTACATGTACTACATTCTACATGAGAACAATTTAAAAAGACTGTCAGTAGTGCAATGCTGGGCTCTTGGCAGCTCAAAATCTTTTTCCGTTAGCCCAGTTACAGGATCGGAAAAATTTTGTGTTTTCAAGCTTCCACAAACACAATTTTCCACATTTTGAGAGGCAAACCATGGTGTTGAAAGTGGTTGTTGGCAGTCCTTTGGATGTTTCTTTCAAAAGATTTTTGTCAGTCTTGCCCATCGAGTTGAAGGATTGGCTTAAAAATTTTTTCCTTCACACACTATAGAGTTCCTGCAAATGATGGAAAAACAGGTGCTGGCTAGAGCCCTGCTACAATATGCAAACAATTTAACTAGACTGCCAGTAGTGCAATGTTCTAATGTACCTGCCGCCTCTGCCGACTCTTCTGCGTACGAAGCCCACACATCTCCTGGGCATGGACAGGGTGGTACAGGAGTATCTGTACCTCGGGTCACCCAAACCTCCCTCCTCTTTAGCCTCCCAGGGCCAGTTGCCAGGTGTGTCTACTCTGGCCTGGTAGTAGTTACAACCTTTCTTTCTCCTGAAGGCGAAGGAGCCGTCAGGATCATTGTCAGTGTCCTCTTCTGCTGACTGTGCCTGTAGGAACAAGATAATCACATTAAGTAAGTCTTCTTATAATCTTATTTAATTTTAATTAGTGTTTCAAATGGAAAAGCATTCAAACTGGAGTCAACCTACTTGAAATTTCAATTGTTCAATTATGACAAAAGTCTTGGTTAGTTAGTAGATATGTAAAAAAGAAAAGAATAAAGTTTATGGATTGATTGATTTCTTGTAAAAATATGTGCTGTGCCCAGTTCCCCGACTGACCTTAGCAAAATCTGTTGAACATATCGCTTTTTCTTTTGGGTCAACTGCTGGCAAGGTCATAAAATCTTCACATTTCAAACGATCTGAACAGCCATTTCATGCATTTCCCCAGGTAAATTTTTATTGAGTGAACCAGGTGAGTTATTTTTTCTGTCCTCACAAGCAAACGGAGGGACGTAATTTATCCAGTAATAGAGTTTGATTTGTATTTGAACATGTTGATTGACATAAGTAAAGCCTGACTTACCGGTGAGACGTCCTCCTCACTGCTGGGGAAGTCATACTTGTGCAGGTCCATGTCGGAGTAGGTGGGCGTGGTGGGGTGTGCCCTGCCCTGCTCCTCCTTCACGTGGGCCGCAGCAGCAGTTTTGTGTTTTCTCTTCTTGTACTCGCGCTTCTTTCTAACTACCTGGACCTGCTCCTGACAGAAGACAGCCACTCACTCATGCGGGTCAACATTACACTCAACATACCTAGAATTTGTACAGTCTACATAGTCATAACTTCTACAGGGCTCGCAATACAGCATATAGCAGATAGAATTGGGACTGTGCAGGAATTTTTGGTGTCTACCTGCACCTCAGGTGCACTGGAATAAAAAAAATGGCAATGGTTTCTGAACAAGTTTTTATCATAATCCACACTTCCTAAATTCTGAGTGGTGCAGGTAAAATTTGCCTGCTGCAGTTTATTTTCAAAGCTACCTGCACCAGGATTTTGAGCCCTTTTTTTTCAACTGATGACAAAAAGAAAACAAAGAATCAGCACCAGAGACAGACCCTTACCCCGTTTATTCTGTTGGCCCAGTCAGGCCGGTTGCCTTGCATGGCGGCGTACAGGGAACCATTTGGCACGGGAGAGGGCGTGTAGGACGGCCGCTGGTGTCTCTGGGCCATCACCTCCGCTAGCAACTGTCCGCTAAAATCATCAGATTGATATCTGCGGACAAGAGCGATTACAAGACAGCTAAGGTTAAGAACCAAACAAAATGGCACAATGTTGACTGTTATACAATTTCATACACATCACACAGCAAAGAACAAAGCAAACAGTAAACACAAACTAATTTTTTTCCAAACAAGTATTGGAAACAACAAAAAAGCACTCACCTTTTTTCTACTATTTCTATTGTTAGATGTAATAGCTCTCTTTTACTCTTCTCTCTTCTTTTTACCATTTCTAACAATGTTCTGTAAATGGAGGAAACATGAAATTAGTTAATAAACCAATGGTTCAGGACACATTGAAAAACAAGCCATAAAGCTGTATTCCTGACGTTTAGCCAAATGAAAATTACACCTTACATCAAGTTCTTTAGTGTTCAGATGACAAAAGACTGATGAAATACTTACACAGCTCTATTTAGATCTCTCCTAAGTTTCAGCATCTTCTCGTAGGAAGCTTCGTCATTTTTCCGATTCTGCAGGGAAATAAAATATATCAGTTCTATTGCTAAACTGAGAAGGAACCCAAACATACAACCCCCCAAATTAAGCGCTTCCAACAACAATACTTCCATCCCAAGAGTAATACACTAGTTGTGTTGAGACAACGGTAGAGGTTCTTACCTTCCTTGTCTGCATTTTCTCTGTTCTCCTTCTGAAGGCCACATACGGGTTGTTGGTTGTGGACCCGTCTCTCTTCTCCGTCCTCACCTGAGCGATGAGTGGATGGGGCTGCAAACGGAACAATCAATCAGAAATAGACCTGCCACCTATCAAGTAAACTTTAACAGAACATGTGCATCTGAGGAAAAGATTATTACAAAAAGGAATTCAACCCACCCACCATCATTTCTATATGATAATACATGACAAACATGTCAATCAGAGATAGCAGACTTCACCCCTTCAAAGGAATGCACCCTCTGGAAAAGCATATAGAAGCTGCTCTGCCCACCATGACAAAAAAAAGCACAAAACAACACGGAAGCCAAATCAAATCAAATAACAAAGGCCATGCTTGAGTTTGTACTGATACCTACATACCACATGTAGAATTCTAAGCCTTTAGAGATGTAAAGTTTGGAGAGTACTTACACTTTTGTTTCTCTTCTTGAGCCAGTAGTCGTACACAGCCTTGATGAGATCATCATCCTCCTTCAAGAGCAGTTTGGCTTCTTGTAACGTAACAGGCTGGAGGGTTGGATAGAAACAACCCAATTATAGGCAAAATTCTCAACAGACACAAGAAATATATACAAAGTGGAAAGGCAAATCTCAACTTAATACCATGGAAATGCATAAAATAATACTTTCCGACAACTTTTAAAACATGAAGGGTTGATGTAGAGAGTTAAAGGGTATATCACATCCACCTGTTTTATTTCAAAAAATCACACATTTAAAAATTCTGTAAATGTTCTGTCTAGATGTTCCCTACTGCATTTCTTCCACCTGTTTTTACAGTATATGCACATGCACATTCTTTTTCATTTATAGAAATCTTAACTTATTCTGTTTCTATCTTATTGTGCAAATAAAGTAACAAACCTGTTGTCCTGAGCCCTTCTCTAACCGATCCATCATCTCCTCAAACTGCTGAGGTTCCAGGGTCATGGCAGAGCTGCGCTTGTTGTGGGAGTTCATCCAGCGCTCGTCGTCAGAGTCCATGTCATACTCAGGGTAGTCCTGCTCCATGTTCAGAGCTGTCAGGGGGTACAAGGTGGGAGGTGGGAGAGTTGGGATGTCAGTAAGTGCTCTTTGTCTTCTAGCTAGCATGGTTTGAACATAGGAGCTCCCTTACAGCTATGATCTGGGCCCCCTATTCTGTCTTTCAACCAGCGTACGAGTGTTTCTTTAGCTTAAGAATAAGGTTTTAACTCAAGACTTTATTTCGTTTCACAAAACTTGCCCCTTGAAAGACAGGAAGTACTACTGTCTAATCTGTTGTGAATTTTACAAATATTCTGCATAATGGTGTTTATGGAAGAGGTTAAATTCAGAAAATTCAATTTTGCTATTGGTATGGTCCATTTGAGAATGGTAACTTTTGAATGGTCCATTCCTAAAAAAGGCTGATATGAAAGATTCCATTCCATTCCAGAGGGAGATGGAGTGAAATATGCTGTGTTTGGCAAATGTCAGTCTCTCAAAGTGAACACATTACCCAGACTTGCTCACCTTGCAATCAGCTCTTCCATGATATACAAATGTATGCTGTGTTTGGCAAATGTCGGTCTCTCTAGTGCCATGACTTCTAGAGGATGCAGCAAGCCTTGCTCACCTTGAACGTGTACAAACTGCTTCTGTGGTTTGAACTGTCCCTCGTACAGATCTTCATAGTACCCGACGCCGACCTGTGCAGGCGGTGTGGGGATAACCAGGTTCTCCACAGCTCCGTACACCTGCTGGGCTGACATGGCTCTCTGCAGATGTCTCTCCTGTACCCAACAGGAAATTACATGCCTTAACATCAGGCCTCAAAATTAACATTTCTTCCCATTGTCCCAGCACTGTCCCGAAAATAAATTTCAATTGTCCCGAAGTGAGGTTGAACTGTCCGAACCTCTTTCTGGGAAGTACATGTATGTATGATGACAACAAGTTGAAGTCAACTTATTTTGCTTAGTCGTTCTAATGCCCAGGCTCACTATCTAGACGAGAAATTTGGAGGGGCTTTTCCGAGCCAAAAGCCGACACGCTTGCCTGATTGGCAAAAGTAGGGCTGACATTCTGAAGTCGATGATTTTTCTATTGCCCCAAAAATGTCCCAAAGTGACTTTTCAGTTGTCCCCGCCTAAATTTTAGTGGTCGGTGGCCATCGGGACACTGTTAATTTTGAGCCCTGTAACATACACACCCAGGGCTAGATATACTTTTATCTGCATTGTGGTTTGTCTACACAGGAGAAATTACAAATCTTTTACATACCCAGGGCTACAGATACTTTTATCTGCATACTGCATATTGGTGCTAAGTGCACGCATAATCTTGCCAAGTGTCATAAAATCATCTTCCGGTTTAATTGTGGTTTGTCTATACGGGAGGAAATTATAAATTCTTTAAATACATACCCAGGGCTGAAAATACTTTTATTTGCATACCTGCACTCTTGCTTATGGCACACAAAATCTTGCCAAGTGTCATAAAATCATATTCCGTTTGATGTGGTTTGTCTATACGGGAGGAAATTATGAATCATTAAATACTTTTATTTGCATACCTGTACTGGTGAAAATACAAGAAATTAAATTCAAGTTTACACTTTCTCAAATAAAATTTGAATGAGTAGCCACATGGACCAAACACCATAGTGGTTTGTCTATTAGGAG